AAAGCCTCATCTTTCTCCCGCGGAGCGGCTGGTAGTTTCAAACTGCTGACCTTAAGGTTCGCAGCCCGATTCGTAACCACTACGCTACCAGAGTTTAGCCAATGTTATTTTGTTGTCAAGTGCTGTCAAGTCGGTTCCAACTCATAGCGACCCTATACAGGGTTTTTGAGGAGCGGTTGGTGAGCTTGAACCATCAGCTTTGCAGTTCAAACCCACAGCACCACACCAATAGACAATAAAGAGGAGAAAATCAAAACAACGAAGAGATACCATTTCACTCTAACAATAATGGAAAGTGTACAAAACAGAACAACAGCAACAAATCCTGGCAAGGGTGGGGAGAGATTGGAATCTTCATCCACTGCTATTGGAACTATAAAATAGTGTGACTACGATATGCACTTGCTTAAAATGTTGGAAATAGAAACAGATTATGATCCAGCAAATGCACTAGTAAGTATATGCCCTATTGAAATAAGAACCATGACACAATCAGATATATGCACATCCATGTTCACTGCAGCATTATTCACAGTAGCAAAAATAAGGAAACAACCTAAGTACCCACCAATGGATGAATGGATAAACTACAGTGCATACATACAATACTATATAGCATTAAAGAATAACATGAATCTGTGAAACATCTCATAATATAGATAAACACAGATGACGTGCTGAATGAAATAAGTCAGTTACAAAAGGACAAATAGTGTATGAAATCACTATGATATAAAGTCAAGAAAAGGTTTACACTCATAAGGAAGCGTTCTTTGAAGGTTAGCAAGTTTGGACGGGAAGAGAGGATAAATCACTAACTAAAGGCTAGACATGGAGTCCTGGTGTGGCGCTGTGGGCTAATACATCAGACGGCAAAGTCATTTGAACTGCAAGGTCCGTGGTTCAAGCTCACCAGCTGCTCCTTGGAAACCCTATACAGGGTCTCTATGGGTCAGAATCAGCTTGATGGCACTTAACAACAACAACAAAGGCTAGACACATATTAACTTGGGTGATAGGAAAGGCAGTACACGAGGGGACTTCAAACTGTTTGTGGAAAAATGGAATTAAGAGCTAATGGAACTTTTCCACAAATGTTTTGAAGATCCTTTATACAACAACAACAACAAAAAGGGAAAATAATCACAAAATGAGCAAGGTAAAAGAAAACACTGGGAGGACCACAAAAATTAAAGGCAACAAAGGTAAATAGGATTCCATAAGCTATTATATACACAGTCCTGAAATAGCAGTAATAACAATGCGCTGAGTGGTTATATACATAGACAGTCAAGCTGAACAAGGATGGGAAGGTGAATGGGGCAACCCACAAATATATATATATATATAAAATGAATGAGGCAGTCTCCTCCTATAAAGATTTACAGCCTCGGAAGCCCTGTGCAGGGTCATTATGAGTTGGAATCAACTCCATGGTACTTAACAACAACAACAAATATATACACACATACACACACACGAGTCAAAAATTATCCTCACTGGTTATATTAAAACAGCCATCCACATCCATGGCTGATAATAACATTGAATGTGTACATGAAATGATTCTGTTGAATAGACAATGAGAGTGGATTATGTGGCAAATCATTTGCAAATCAGCCATAGCACTGCCATGAAATAATCCACTACTGACTT